GTACCCCACACAGCACACAGGCCTGCCACTCCCTTTTGCTACCTGGGGTCCCTGTGTCTGGTTTCTACATTTTGTTCATGCTGACCTCAGTGAATATTTGAGTCGTAATCTTGGCCTTATATGACTATAATGAAATGTTTGTGGGAATTTTACTCATTTGGTGTATCTTGAATTTGCCAGAAGAGTTGGGGGGAAATGTGGGAATAACAAAGCAAATGACTTTGAAAGCATCTCCAAGCTTAATGTGCAAGGAAACAGATTTGTGTAAAGCTTAACTCATATGACAGAATATAGTCAGGAAATTGTTTCTGCTTGGCCACTTTTCCCATGTCCCCAGTTTGTGGGCTATGGCAGGCCCCCTGAAGGATTCTGAGAAGTAGGGCTCTCGTAGCCTCAGCAACCTGAATGTGGGACGAAGGCTGTGTGAACATGCTCCTCTCTTCTTTCCACAGGTCACATCAATAATCTTTACAATACAGTGTTCTGGGCACTTGTACAGCAGTCTGGGCTAACTCCAGTGCAAGCCCAGGGGCGGTTACAGGTACAGACTTCGATGAACGCACTGTTCACCAGGATTATGGCCTGTGTGCTCTGTCTTCACATTTTGCTTTCTTTCAAAGCTCTCTTAGCCGCTCTGCTACTTGTTTGTTTTAGGACCCCGATGCCTTAGTACTTACCTTCAGCCTTAGTGTCCATGTCTGCATTTGCACATGGTCTTGTTGGGCTATAGCTGCCTTATTTTTGCTGTCTGTAAATGGGGCACAGACATTTAGTCCCACCTGGCTCTTCTCAGGCCATTTCCTGCTAGGCGCCCATAGCTTTTCAAGTTTATCACCCCCGTGCGTGGTTAAAAGTGTAGGCTATAAGGGTAGTAATGATTCAGGTGGTGCTTCTGCTTAACTAATCCTCTCTGCCCTAGTTCCTTACAGATAAGATGGGAAAAGACTAGTTCCTGCCCAGTATATGGTAAGAGTTAAGTCGTATGATAGATGTGAAACACTTAGGGTAGTACGAGCATGTAGTGAGTACTTATGTTGTATAATCAGAGCTGCTCGTGGATGACTAACTCTGAAATGAGATATGTAACAGATATTCCAGTGCTTGGTATATAATTGTGGCTCTGCAGGAGGTTGCATTTACTGACTCAGAATGACAGTGGACTTAGAGCCATAAGAAGACAGCTAAGGCCCTCCCTGGTGGCGCATCAGGTTAAAGTGCAGCACCACGAAGCTGTCCCCAGCCACTGTAGCACGAGTTTGATCCCTGGCCAGGAGGTGACCCACATGGTGTGGCAGACCTTTACTGTTTTGTCCACTGCTCCCATCAGCAGTATATTTCATTCACTCTGCCTATTCTGTTCCCCACTTTCTGGTGAATCCCCTCACCCCCCCCCACACCTCTACCCTGTAACCCAGTTCTTGTATGCACAAATAACTAAATCTTTAAAAAAAAGATCTATCTAACTCTTCTGTTGCTTTATTTTGTTGAGTGGAAATTTGGGAAGAGGGTAGTCTGGATAGGGAGGGTTTGAGGAGAGAGAAGGCATACTTACCTGCTGACATCTGTTTTGATTTCCACAGGGTACACTTGCAGCAGACAAGAATGAGATTTTGTTTTCTGAATTCAACATCAATTACAATAATGAGCCGATGATGTACAGGAAAGGGACTGTGCTGATATGGCAGAAGGTAATGCTGTGTGTGCGGAGGAGGAGCTGTCTGGCTGGGCCTGCATGCCCATGTGACTGCACTTGTTAACACAAATTAGCTCCTTGCTAAACAAGATGCTCTAGGTTATTTTGTGTGCTCCTTTTTTCTGTTTCTGTTTGCAATTTGGAATCTCCCACTATAATAAGAATCTTAGCATTTTAGAATTAGTAAATTTATCTTTCTTATCATAAACACTCCCTAGATAAGTGCTCCCTAGAGTTATGTACTCATAGAACCTATAAAAAAAAATATTTTCTGGCCCTCCCTAGTGGCGCAGCGGGTTAAAGCACAGCACTGAGAAGCTAAAGCCACTTCCGCATGAGTTTGGTCCCCGCCTGCCCCGGAGGAGACCACATGGCATGGCAGACCTCTCCTGCCCTGCCCGCCGCTCCCCTCAGCAGTGTACTTCGTCAGTCTATCTGTTCTGCTCCCCACTCTGACTCTGGTGAAGCCTCTCACCACCCCTGAGCCTCTGGCCTGTACCCAGTTCTGTATGCACAAATAAATAAATCTTTAAAAAAAAAAAACAACTTTCTCAGGCCCTCCCTGGTGGCGGAATCTTAAACACAGCACTGTGAAGCTAGCCATAGCTGCTTCAGCATGAATTTGTTCCCCAGCGAGGGAGCTGACCCATATGACAGAGCTGACCTCTCCTATCTTGTCCGTTGCTCCCTTCAGCAGTATGACTCATCAGTCAGTCTACATGTTCTGCTCCCTATTCTGTCTCTGGTGAATTCTCTCTCTGCCTCTCTACCTCTTGCCTGTACCCCAGTTCTATATACATAAATAAATTTTTAAAATTAAAAAAATTACTTTCTCCCATACTAGTACCATTGAATGTTCTTCCATTCCATGAACGAAAATAGAGGCATTTGGAGGTCCTCCTAGTGGCTCAGAGGGTTAAGTCTCAGCATTGTCACGGTATCATCAGCTACTGCAGCACAGGTTCAGTCTCCGGCCAGGGAGCTGACCCACATGGCACTACAGACTTCTCCTGTCTTACCCGCTGCTCCCCTCAGTAGTGTATTTCAGTGGATCCATCTGTTCTGCTCCCTACTTTGTCTCTGGTGAATCCTCTCACCCACCCACACTTCTGGCCTGTACCCCAGTGGGAAGCAGAACAGGCACATTGACAAAGTACACTGCTGAGGGGAGCAGTGAGCAAGACAGGAGAGGTCTGCTGCACCATGTCTTACTAGCCAGGGATCGAAGTCATATTGAAGTGGCTGTGGCTAAAGTACTTTTTTTTTTTTTTAAAGGTTTATTTATTTGTGCATACAGAACTGGGGTACAGGCCAGAGGCTCAGGGGCAGTGAGAGGCTTCACCAGAGACAGAGTGGGGAATAGAATAGGCATATCGACGAAGTACACTGCTGAGGGGAGCAGTGGGCGGGTCAGGCGAGGTCTGCCACACCATGCGGTCACCTCCGGGGCAGGGGGGAATCAAACTCATGCAGAAGCGGCTTTAGCTTCTCAGTGCTGTGCTTTAACCCGCTGCGCCACCAGGGAGGGCCTAAAGTACTTTTAATCATACAAAGATTCATGCACGTTGAGATTTACATTTATATACACACACAGACACACACACACCAGGCAGTCAGAAATATGTCAAGAAAAAGAGTGAATTTCCCCCACATCTGCTCCTCTCCCAAAGCCACTCATAAATTAACTATTATCATTTTACCCATAGGTGGATGAAGTCCTGACAAAAGAAATTAAACTGCCAACAGAAATGGAAGGAAAAAAGATGGCAGTGACCCGGACCCGGACTAAGCCACTGCCCTTGCACTGTGACATCATTGGGGATGCTTTCTGGAAGGAACATCCAGAGATCCTAGATGAAGACAGCTGACCCTTGGTTTTTCAGTCCTGGTGTGGTTAACTATTTGCGGCCCATGCCTCCTGGCCTTAGGTGGCCCTGTCTCTTCACCACCCAGAACAGTGTGCTGTGAGGGAACCAGGGAAGGAAGGGCAGCACGGGGTGGTGTGTCTCATGTGGTGTGTCTCATTTGCTCTGAGTAGACACCTTTCTTGCTGTGTTGGAACATGGGTCCTTCAGTAGAAGTGCATTTTTAGAAAATCTTGGTACTATTTTTATAAAGCACGAACTGTTACATGCCTTGCAGAATGAATCATTTTTAGATAGTGGCATAAGTCTTACAAAAAGCTGTCAAGCTCTTCACCTGGTTTAGAAAATGAGCCTAGGCTTTACTGTCCCTCCCCTTCTCCCCTCTCCCTCACTTGACTAGAGAATCCAGTGATCTTGAAAACCTTACCTTGCCTGCCCATCGACTCGCATTCATCCTTGGCAGACTTGGAGATCAGTACAGGCTGATGTCTGAATTCAGAAGTTTCAGGAAACACTCAAGCTTTTTGCCCATATCCAAGATGGCAGAAATGGCTGAACAGATGAGTGGAGGTTTGGATGTGTTTGTGTGCACATCCAGTTCTGCAGTGTTAGCAGCAGCAGGAGCATCTTCCTGCCAGAGATCCTGTTTTGAAGGCCACTGACCTCTTTCTAAGAAGGAAGAGAATTCTATGGGTGTGGCAGAGAGAGAGAGCATGTCAGAATGAACAAATGAGGAGGAAGAAACATTTATTCCATCTCCTCTGGGTACTTCGGTTTTAAAGGCCACCTTCCTGTTGAATTTCAGAAGATTCTCAAGGAGACTTGACATGCCAAATCAGATAGTGGCATGTGAATTGTAGAGCAGCGGGGGCAGGACCCCTTGGGGCAGAAGTGGCCCATGTCAAAGAAGCCCTTAGCTGTCCAGAGCCCAGCGGGATGGGCTAGGCTGAGATACTGGCCCAGGGGTGAGTGTACAGGGAACTCACATTGTCTTATCCTTGTTTCATATTTCAGAGGAAAAGATAATTTGGCTCTATTAAGGTTTAATGAAGAGACCGCCTACTCCCCAATTCCTAGCCTTGCATTACAGAATTCACAGACAAGAAGAAAATGTATTTTTGAAAGGGCGACGGCTGGTCTCATTCCTCACTAATTGATATCCCATCTGTCCAAGCTTTTTTCCTTCCTATTCTCAGTCTACAGGAATAGGGAAATCATGGTTGGTAATTGATAAAATTCACTTTAAAAAACAAAACAAAACAGGACTCAGCTTATTTGGCCTAATTTTTCACTGATTTTTGTCACTGAAGTGCAGTCTACAAATCCAACTATTGTGTTTGCATCATAAGTGGGTGCACACTGTATGTGAATTGCTTATTTAAAGTGCTGATTTCATGTTCCCTCCCAGTGAAGAATTAGGTTCAAGGCATCTGTGATTGTGGATATACTGCAGTAAGTCACTCGTTTTACTGTGATCTGTCAAGTGAGACAGGATACAGTTTTTGGTAAATAATCATAAATATATTGATGACAAATCAAAATAGATACAGGTAAGTGGGCACTAATGTACAAACTTTCAAGACAAAATTGTGATTTCTCTGGGTACCATATGGTACTTTGAAGGCTGCCACTTGATTTTGTCATAACATCAGGACAGATAACTACCCCTTGAGTTGACGGGTGGAATTTCAAGGTTTTTGGGGGGGTTGAGCAAAGGAATATAATGGGTTTGATACCCCGGCAACAAAATACCTGTGGTGCTGTCATTCACTACTGTTTTGAGGTCTGTGTTCTTCATTGCATGTCTTGTTTCAGTGTATTTCACAGTTGTATATTGTCATCCTGCTCTTTGAGGCCCTGAATAGCATTCTCAAATGGTAAAGAAGCTTTAAGATACAAAACTGACCAATACAGGTTTAGTATTAGTTGCTAACCTGGGAAAGAACAGGCACTTACAGCTGTAAATGGAAATCTTGGCTCACCTGGATGACAGTCACATTTGTACCTTCTGTGTAGAATACATTTTTAAATTTTTCTTACATTGTTCATTTTTGTACAGTAATTGGTTTCTTTCCCCATGTGTAGTCCTGGTAGTTTCCCACCACCATAGCACCTGTGAACCCTCACCATATTCACTGTGCTCTTTCCTCTCCTTTCCCTCTCCCACTCCCTTGCTATTAGCTTCAGATCTATGGTCAGCTTGCAATTTTTGAGTAAACTCATTTTAACACCAAAAACACAAAACCCTTGCTGACCAGTGGCTGTAAACTAACAAGTAGTTCAAGGGGTCTTGTAAATCCTCCTGTGCCCCTGAGAGCTGGGTCCTCATCTCTCTTCCTTAGAATGCCTAAAACATTAGTGATAATAAGTTTCCCTTAATAACAGGTCAGTGTAGTGTAGATTTCTTTTCGCTTAGGGTATAGACCCATCCTGTCCTAGTTTCATTGCACACTTAACTGAATTAGCCAAGGTTCATAGAGCACCCATTAAGCGTTTTTTGTGCCATATCTCTTCATTCTCAGGTACTATTTCTGATAAATACAAAGGTCTAAATTGAGCCGCGTATGTTAGTTACCCCACTGAGTACTGAGCGTGGGAGTCAATTGGGTCACTCGCCCTCCCCCCGCCCAAGCAGCGAGGAGGTGAGTTCCTGGGAACAGAGAGATAATTGGTGCGCTCGCTAAAGGCAGGTCCGGGCTCCTTGTCCAGGAGTAGGGACAATCCAGGAGTTCTTGAGGCACACAGGGGTAAGCTGAGTCCTTGGAGAGGCAGGAGTCCCTGGGCGGGGCCGGCGCCACGCCCGCGTGGAGTTCCGCACGGAGAGGTGCTGCCCCCCAGCGGCTGAGCCGACGCAATGCGGACCCAGGCCGCGGCTGCGCAGTGCCGCCCTCTGGCGGCTCGGCTCCTCCTTCCCATCGGCCTCGGCTGCGGGCCTTTCAAACATGGAGGAGCGGGAGAGGGGGGCGAGGCCGGCCGGCGCCGGGAGCCCCGCGCGCCCGCCCAGCCCGCGGCTGGACGTCAGTTCTGACAGCTTCGACCCGATGCTGGCCCTGTACGCGCCGCGCCTGCCGCCCATCCCCTACCCCAACGCGCCCTGCTTCAACAACCTGGCCGAGTACGAGGGCTTCCTCCGGACCGGGGTCCGGGGCGGCGCGCGCGGTCGGGCGCGGGGCGCGGTCGCGGGCTCTAGGGGTCCCAGCGCCGCTGCTGGACCCTCGGGCCGCTCTCGCCGCCGCCCGGACGCCCCCGCCCCGGACCCCGAACGCATCCAGCGCCTTCGCCGCCTCATGGTGGTCAAGGAGGAAGCGGACGGGGCGGACGGGACAGCTGGGGCGCGCCGCCCAGGCCCGGGTCGGAGCAGAAAGGCGCCGCGCAACGTGCTCACGCGGATGCCCCGTGAGTCCAGGGGCCGCGGGGCCCGGGTGGCTGGGGGCCGGCGAGGGCGGGGTTGCCCGGGCCGCTCCGAGAGTCGGGGAGAAGACTGCAGACAGCAGCGGCCTCGTAGGCAAGGGGCCTCTGCTTGAGACCTCTGCTCCTGGGGTGTGGCCACGGTAGTCTGGAGCAATGAAAGGTCTCCCCGAGTCGTACGAGAGGGCAGTGGTCCGGCCGCCGAGGTAATAAGCAGCCGCAGACAGGTCTCCAGAGGAAATGGGGTGTGTGGAAGTGGCTGCAGAGCTGGGGAGAAGCCTGCAAAGAGGGGCTACTGGAGAGGGGGAGGGTCTTGGAGGAGAGGTGAGCCTGGGAAAAGGACTCCAGGCAGAGGGCCTACACAGGTGAAGAGCCATCTCGGACTGGGGGTGCTCACTGCTTACAGAAGGCCAGTGTTCGTGCAGTGGGATTTGAGAGGATGGGGAGTGGGGAGAGCAGATCAGATGGCCCAGGGGACATCCTCTAGAATTCCGCCCCCCCCCTTACCCCCCCTTTCACTCCCCACATTGACAGCTTCTTCTCTTCCTGGCTGTAAGCAAAACGGCTGCAGGGCCCTGATAGACTTGTTCACAGAAAATGCAGCCGGCACAAAATGCCACTAAAACGCTAGCACTGCTTTACAGCCACTCTGCTGGGACCTAGTACAGGAGCTGTCTGTCTGGGTTGCTGTTACCATATGCGCAGGTTATTTTAAGTGCTGGAAGTGTAAGTGGCCCAAGGGAATTTCTTGGGGCCCCTAATAGATGCTTAGAGTAAAGCTGTAAACAGCAGAGGTTGCTCATGTGTGAGTTAAGTCTTATACAAATGGAATAAAAACAGCCCAGGGTTATATCTTTTGTCATCTGGCAAGAATTCTGACATCTGTCTGGTGAACACAATGACCTACTTAGCCATTCAGAACATCTGTATCCTCATAGCTAGATTGTGACATTAGTAAATCGTTGCCTTTGGAATGCAGGGTTACACTAAGCAATGAATATTTTGTTTCATTCCTAGACATGTGTTATTAAGAAAGAAGCCTCCTGGAAAACTGTGTGCTGTCAGAGGTGCCTTTGTGGGGTGATTACCAAGTCAGAGCATCCCTGCCTTAAGCTAGGGTTTCCCCAGTGTGCTTGCCCAGCAGTAACGCAAGGATAGAATATGTATGTTCTAAAATGAGAGCAGTTTGGGGGACTTTATTTTTCCCATACTTTTGCTATTAGATTGTTGAAATGCTCCAAGTTTCTAGTTGTAACATTTCTCTTGAAACACTTTCCGTAATTGCAACATTTTCCATAATTGCTTTGCTACTAAGATTGTCAAGGAAGAGAAATATTTCTATATGGTGGGTGTTTTTAGCTTGGAGCTCTTTGCTATATTGCTATAACAGAGTGAAGACCCACTTTCCCACACTTAATCAAGGTCTGAAAGACTTATGTACTAGGCATTGAAAAATGTAATCACAACACAGGGAAGCTGATGGGTAAACATCAAAGATTTGATGACCTTCAGAAAGCAAAAAACAATCTACAGCAGCTTGAGTGAGGATTAGATTTATTCAAGGAGTTCCTGCAAGAGGTAAAATTTTAGTCTTGAAGTTTGAGAAGGGTGGTTGATGATAACTGATTAAAAATCAGTGTGATTTATTTGTAGCAAAACTCATCCTTTTAAAATAAGTTTTGACATTGTAAGAAACTGCCCATCACAGTGAAAATACAGAACATTTCTATCACCCCCAAAAGTGTTCTGCCCCTTTGTTAGTGAGATAATAATTTTATTGTTGCTGATGGTAGCTTCTATTACTGAGCACATATGTGATAGGCCCTTTAGATGCACTAGATCACATTATGCCTGAGATGGTACTTGACAGATGAGGAACTCAAAGCACATGGAGCTTAACTATTGGGTTAATTAACTAGTAGCTAACTAACATATCTAGTTGATTTGCAGTTAAGACTGCCTTCTGATTTGCCAATCTCAGGAAAAAGAAGAGGTGAGAACATTCTCTTGTCCCCGTGCTTGTTTTGGTGGTTGGAGAGTATTGCAAATGTGAGGCAGGGGATCTGTGTCCTGAACAATGATGATAGAATTTGAATCAGAGTTTAGAATGGGTCTAGAAGAGTAATTCTTTAAAGGTAAGGCAAATGTATTTCTTGTTGCATTTAAGTTTTAGAAGTCTGGATCATCTCCACTGGAATAGGCCAGAAGGAGATTCAGAATGGGCATTCTGGTTTGGAATTGGGAGTTCATTATGCCGTGGCAGTTTGCTCTGCCAGGTGGTGCTAGTGTGGTGTTTTTGATCATTCAAGGAGAAAAATGCTCCCTAGAATTACATCTTATTAGTTTATGGAAGAAAAAAAAACTCAAGAGAAACGTGTTAAGTGCAAGAGTTGAAAGACCTGACTTTGCTGTTTGTAGTTTTGTGCCCACTTTTCTTTTCTCTGAGTTGAGAGTGTGGGGGGAAGTAATATACTTGTTTTTTTTTTCCACTTTAGAAAAAAATGGTCTTCCTATTTTTGGTAGAAACATGTATGCTGTGGGTAGTGATCCTTATTGGCAAAAGGAATAATCTACTTGTGTTGTGAGTGGTTTCCAGGAAATAAAGTACAGAGACTTATTCCTGAAATGAATGCAGAAATTAGCTGCTCTTAATGAATGCTTCTCTTTTAATGAATGAAAAAATTCAGACTTGTAGAGAAACAGTTGCACACAAGGTCACACACTAGTTATAATGTCCTAAAGTTGTTTAAATGCTTGGTCACACAGTCTGTAACACATCTCCAAATGTGCATGCATACATAACACCATCCACACCAGAGATTCCTGGAGGGAAGGCTGGAACAGAAGTTTCTCTGCTCTCCCAAGGCCACTGTATCTCTCTCCAACAGTGATTCTTTGTGAATCTTCAATCTGACATGATTGCACTACTTCTCATTGGTGCGATCAAATACTTTCCAGAGTATTTTCTTATATTAATTTTTCTTGTCATGATATGTGAGCCAACCCATGAGTGAGGCATAAGGTCAAGAGTAGCCAAATTAATTATTCAGGCTGAAGTGTGGGACTCCTCTTTCATGCCACTAGAAACAAAAAGGTTTTTTTGTGTTTGTTTTGTTCACTATCAATGACAATGATAACCAAAGAATTTTTGCCTTGCAAACCTGACTTCTGTGTATGCATGTGTCTGTGTATGTTTCTTTTGGGAAATTTAATATAATAAAGTCAGTATATTATGAAAGCCAAGTTAGCATGACATAAAAAGTAAGATTTATCCCTGCTCCCAAATTCTGAAAGGCTTCATCTCAGTAGCCACTGAAACGTATGCCAGCATTCTTCCCATGAGTTTCCCTCGGCAATCTTATGTGTCAGTGCCAGGAATCTCAGGGGCGCGTACGTCCCGCGGGACCCATTGCACTGCCCAGATCTGACAGACAAGTGGGTCTTTGCTTCCAGTGTGATGACCATGTGCACTGAGACACTAGAGCTCAGAGAACCCATACCCAAAGTTGCTCCACCTGAGGCAACTATTTAACCAATACTTGTCAAATTCTAAGTGATGATCCAACTTTATTCTGTAGAGCATAGTTTTCTGCTGTACAAAGTTTAATGTTACTGACCATTAGCATAATAATTCAGACCTTTATTTTTTGTAATCATACTGAAATATTTTTAGATTCTGCATATAAAAAGTATAGACTTTGAAGAAAAGTTTACTCAAATCACCGTTAGAATTTACATGTAAAGCATGAATAAGGAAGAATTTTTTAAGGAAAATCAATTATTTGTTTTATGTTATATCTCCATATTATATAGCAAAGTCAAATTTGACTGTCAGGTTTCTTAGAGGATTGCACGTGTTTAGGGCAGATGTGTTACATGGTTCACTTCTTTTAAACATAAGAACAAGGTTTTCGGTTCTTTGGAAGATTCAAACTGGTGATGTGATTCAGGAAAATGATCCTGAAAAAGGTTAGCTTAGATACAGAGTGTGATGAATCTAGCTGCTGATGGGCACATTTAATGTAGTTTTTTTCTTTAAAATGTTACATGTTAGATCAGTGACATCACAGAATATAGGATATACAGGTACTGAAACCCTGGCTGGTAGCCATTTAGACAAATTAGCCACATACTGGGGGACTCCCACCTGGCTTGCCCTTGTCTAGGTTGTGCTGGCCATGCTTGCCTTGGTCTTTCCTGCACCCACGTGAAGCTGTATGGCGTCACTGGAGCTGTGGGTGGTCCTTATGGTTTGTTCTGAGGATGTGAGCAGATGCTTATGCTGTGCTGGCTATTCTCTGGTTTCAGTGCACGAAGGCAGCCCTCTGGGTGAACTCCATCGCTGTATCCGAGAGGGGGTGAAGGTGAATGTCCATATCCGCACTTTCAAGGGGCTGCGTGGCGTCTGCACAGGCTTCCTTGTGGCCTTTGACAAGTTCTGGAACATGGTAATTAATCTCTTTCAGGGGACTGGGAACCTTGTGGTGTTAATGTGTCATATGTCTGAGGGAACTAAGTAACCTCAGGAGCAGAACCTATAGAATAACTTCCCAGAAGAACTAGAATCTTTGCCCTCTTTTGGTCAACAACAAGGATGATCTTTTGATTGCTTCCCTTTTCATAAGACACCAGTGTTCAAGGTGGTGATTTTACTCCTCACTCCCTCCCAAGGACCCGCGGCAATGCTTTGGAGTAGTTTTGATTGTGGGAAATGTGGGGCAGGGTATATAGCTGCATTGCACAAGACAGCACCTGACCATAAAAAGTGATTTGGGCCAGAATGTCATTCATGCCAAGGCTGAAAAACCTAGCCAGAAGGAATAATTATTTGACCTGACTTCCGACAAGCCATTCTTGTATTCATTTAAGAATATTCTTTTTGTTGTATCTGCTTTGATAGTAATTAAACTTACTGCACAATATATGTTAAGTAAAACCACTTTCTGTGCACTTTAAACTTTGTAATCATATGATAGTGTCAGTTATATCTCAGTACCTGGGAGAAATATCTATTGACTTGTCACTTGGGCTGGGCTTGGTGCTAGATATTTCAGAAAGGATCTATCACTTACATTGTTTGGGAAAAATAGATGAGAGGAGGGAAAAACAGTTTATAAGCAATCACTCCACCTGGTGGTCCTTGTGCGAGTCCACCAAGCCCCAGCCTAGTAGCAGCTGCTGCTCGGTGTTCTCAGAAGAGAGGGGCTGGAGACTGCACAGCCTGGCAGGAGGCAGTCACAGCAGGGACCTCCAGGGATTTCTGCTGTTTCTTTTCCACACGGTCTTCCATCGCCAACATTTTTTCTTGTGCTTTATCTCCATTCATGTATTCTCCTGGTAATAATTATACTTGTAATATTTATATTTATTATGATCTTGCTATGTGTTAGGTACTCTACTAAGGACTTTGTGTTATCTCAGTGAATGAGTTGAAAGTCTGCTACTGTTTCGTGCCATAGTGAGACCAGAGATACAGGAAGGCTGGGCCCTGATAGAAATGCTAGTTAGTGTGGGTGTCAGCCCTTCCCCTAGGCCTTCCTTCTGACTCCGGAGATGTCTCCAACCATGTGCAATTAGAAAGGCCTGGGTTGGAGTCCTCACTTCCCCTCAGCAGCTGTGTGACTCCAGGTGAGGTAGCTTGCCTACACCTTAGTTCTTTCATTTCTAAAACGTAGGGGAAAAAATTTATTATACTTTCCTCTTTGAGGGAGAGGATTAAAAATATATTTGATGACAATGGTGGCAATAATTCTGGCAGCTTATATTTGTAGGGTGTTTTACATTTTTCAGAGTATTTTCTTACAGGCATTCATGGATCCTAACAGCAGTCCTGTGAGGTTGTCCTCTCAGTGACAGTTCACAAGTGAATTTGTGTGTAACCCTGGGCCATCTCTATTAAAAGCCATTAACCCCTAGAAGACATATAAACAGGGGAGAGCAGGCAGCGCCCTCAGCAGGACTCTGAGACAGTTCTGCATCCCTCGCACTGAAGGTTTCTGACAAAAGAGGAACTTTGTTGACTTTCTCTCAGACCTACTGAGTCAGAATCTCTAGAAGCATATAGCCTTGAATTTATATTTAGATAATTTATATTAACTTGAATTTATATTTTAGTAAGCCTCTTGGATGTTCATGTTTACTGAAAGGTAAGGGCCTTCCCGTGCATTTGTGAGGGCTCTTACCATAGAAGCAAGCCATCTTACTGGTTACCCTGGAAGTCCCACACAGGACAGGTCAGGCATTGCCCTTTTTATTTTTTCTGCTTAAGAACCCAGCCAATGCTTAAATTCACTTCTGCTACAGTTAGCTGCTTTTCTGCCCTTTAAAAGTTTTCCTGAAGGTTGTAAACATGCTTTTAATTCTGCCTCTCCCCCAACTTTGGGCTGTTTCTCCAGGCACTTACTGATGTGGATGAGACCTACCGAAAGCCGGTTCTGGGTAAAGCATACGAGCGGGATTCTTCATTGACTCTCACACGGGTAGGTGCTTTCCCTTGACTCCTTGGGTGGGCTTGCTTTCAGCTTGAGAAGCAAGATCACTGAGATGAGGGCCTGGAGCTTCCTCTTGGGAAAGCCCCATAACAGTCACCCAGAGCTGCCTAAACCAAGGTTTTCATTAATCTCTTCTGTCTCCAGCTAATCTCAAATGAGTGTACTTCTCAGCTGCATATTATTTGAGCAACAAATTTACAAAGCTTAACAGTTATTCTTTCTATTTTAGCAGGTGCCTTATCTTTTGACATATTTGTTTCTTCTTTTGAGTTATGCCTAGAAAACTCATTACTAGCTTTTTTTGTTTTGTTTTAAAGATTTACTTATGCATACAATAACTGGGTACAAGCCAGAGGTGTGGGGAGTGAGAAGATTTATAAGACAGAGTGGGGAGCAGAACAGGTGGAAATACAATGCTGAGGAGAGCAGCAGGAGGGTCAGGAGAGGTCTGCCACGCCATGTGGGTCACCTCCCTGGCCAGGGATTGAACTCGTGCTGTAGTGGCTGTGGAGAACTGCATAATGCTGTGCTTTAACTTCTTACGCCACAAGGGAGGGCCATCATTACTAGCTTGTTTAAAACCTCTGTAAAAGGAATCCATAGAACATAATGAAGGGACCTGACCTTTTTCTGTGTATTGAAGGAGGGATGTCAAAGACTAATGAGAAGACTATTTGTCTTTCCTGTCTTTATAGCTCTTTGATCGATTAAAGCTTCAAGACTCCTCTAAGAAGGAAGCAGATTCTAAGTCTGCTGTTGAAGACTCCACCCTGTCCAGATACTCACAGACATCTACTTGGAAGGTGGCTTCAGTGTGGGGAAGAGGAGACACTGACCGGGACTCCCGCAAGCGCTCCCGCTCTGTCCCATCATCCCTGCAGGCGTCTGCAAGGGAAGAGTCTAGGTCAGAGCTGTCAGGGAGGACGACACGGACAGAAGGGTCAAGTGCAGGAGGCACTTTTTCCAGGGCCACCACCCTCTCCAGGGGCCAGTCCCATAAGAAAAAACGAAAGCCCAAAGTGGATTACCAGCAGGTATTCACTCGACACATAAATCAGATTTTCATTCGAGGCGAGAATGTCCTGTTAGTTCATCTTGCACAGTGACCAGCTCAGCCTCCCTCACTTGAGCTCTGGTTTTTAGAAATAAAGTGCATGAATTGCTGCTCTGCTGTATCCTAGTCTCCCAGTGAAACTGAGTTGGAATAATTCCCTCTGGTCCTGCATGTACAGAGGACAGAGCCAGGTACAGGCCCTCTGGAGATGGGCTCCCTGAATCAAGGGAGACAGGTCTTGGGAGAGTGAGTGGTGTTTGCTTTAATGTCAAGACAAAAACTCTACAGAGAGACCTGCACTGATATGGTACCATGAGTGTTCAGGCACTGAGACCAACTGTAAGCTGTTGCACTTGAAGTAAGGTCATGGTATGAATTGAATTCGCACCATAGACGTTATAGAATGGAGGTGTAAACCACCTTCAAAAAGAATGGCCTCAAAAAAGTGGGGCCCTGTGTCACATTGCTCTTATTCTAGAAGTAGCAGCATGAACTTCTCTGGAGCCCTGTACCCCACCTTGTAACTGACTCTCAGTGGTGCTTGACACCATTGTCTCTTGATGGAGAAATGCCATTTACTATCTTTGAATGGGCATAAGATCTTAGAAAGTCACCAGTAATGTAAGGGTGAAATTTGGATAGGTGGTCTACTCTAGCAGCAACGAATGCTGTTTTTACCTCTCTCCCTGTTACGGAAATGTGGGTACCCATACATGAGGCGCTTCTACCAACAGCATACCAGATGGGACTCTTTTTAAGATACCTGCGTGGTGGTTTCTTGTCCTTCTCTCTACCTTCTGTGGCATGGTGCTAATGCATGTATCTGTAACTGCCCTTGTACATAGCGTGACCTGTCCATGAGCTCTAAGGCAGGAGACTGAGACCTTCATGTCTGCCTGAAAGAGTCCTGCATGGACTAAGTAATGCCCATGTGTAGCTAGGAGGCCCCATTCTGACAGGCAGGCCTGGAAAGTATCTTTCAGAGTGGTTTTGCAGTGACGTGGGGTGGTACTTTCCCTCCCTGTGTCAGGCCTAAGAGGTTTCCACAGTACACAGTGGGGACCCAGTCTCACTGGACTAGCAGGAGCCCCACACCCTCTAATTCTTCTACTTGAATCACATGAGATGCTTTTTCAGTCCCAGTGCAGAAGAGGCTGTCTCTCTTGACACAGACTGTTAGGTAGTATTCACTTTTCATTTTACTCATTTATGTTTGGTTTTATTTTAATTAATTTATATTGAAAGTGAGAAAAAGAAATAGCTAACTAGTTTAAATGTTTGCAAAGAGAAGTTTCCTGTCCTGTATTTATTGTATAAATGAGATGAGCCTTCAAGAAGCAGGGTGATAAAGTTTAAAGAACTAGGACTCCTGGTCCTTCTGCCAGCTGGAACACTGGCTGGTCCTACAATGAAAGGAGAGCCAACTTACTTCTTTGTGCCTCAGTTTTCCCTCAGATACCTACCTCACAGGGCCACTGAGATAAGGAATTTTAGGAAGGTGTTTTAAAGTCTCTAAACATGTGTAAGTGCCATGAGTGATGTTTCCTAACTATTTCCTACTTGATTAGAATTCTGTGTCTTAAGTGCAAGGCTGGTGCTATATAGGAGGAGATCGCCACTGTGCTCACAGAGCTGATTTTGTGACAGGGGCAGTGACAGCTACAGGAATGATTCCCATAGTCCATGGAAGTCCTCAGAAGACTCAGTATGAGGAGAGTAAAGTTCTCTTTCTGCTCTCCCTATACCCCTACCCTGTTTTGGTCATAGTCAGAAAAAATTCCCTGAACTTCTAAAGGGGACTTCTGTGAAGAAACCAAAGGGAGAGTGCACGCCAAAGCGTGACATGACCCCTGAGGGGAGTGAGTAATGTTTTATCTATTTACACCCAGATGTACTAAACATTCAAAAGGCTCCAGGTTACAAACTTGAATTTTGGAATCTGCCAAGTATAAATTCTCTTCTAAATTGTGTGTCTGAAATCTCAGCTCCCCAATTAACAGTTGTCTTCTTTGAGCATCAGGCACCCCTGCTCTTCTTCTTTACCAAGTGTGTGGCTATGCTATCTACCGCCCTCTTGCCCTCAGCTAGAAGCTGTAATGGGTACTAGATTTTCCCAATAAAGTAGAAATTTGGAATATAATCTGTTTTCTATCCATTCTAGTATCTGATTAAATCTAATCTGCTTTGTTTTCATGTAATTTTCTATTACCATACAGAGATTGATTTGTAACTTTTCTGCCCAACTTAACAATTCTGACTGATTTGAAAATTGTGTGTCTAATGTGCCTAAATGAGTGATTTTAGAATGAGCACCATAGAGGAAGTGTGCTGTTTTGTATAAAGATGATAGTTATTTTTAGATAAATAAATTTTTAAAATTCATTACCTTTTATTATTGAAAAATTTCAATAATAAAAAGAAAAAATAAAAGATCGTAATATGTATGCTGCTCAAAAAATGTCTTCAATATGGGACCTTTTACTAAGTTCTTTTCATAGTGAAGGAAAAGGAAAGTAACAATGGCAGAGTCCTACCAGCCCCACCCTCAAGGGGTCGGGGAGCTGCAGTGGTATTTGAGCCCTGGGAAACTTAGTAGGAACACTTCTTTTTGAACATCCACCCTTGGTTCTTTGAAGTAATCCACAGGCAGATGTAGGAGCACAAGACAGTTGATGCCTGTGCACTTGCTGTGGCAAATAGTGTCCAGCTCTGTTAGTGATGTCAGAGCATCAAGAGTGGAAAGTAAGGTTTCACGCCCAGAACTTTCTTTGTCCATAGATGTGATTCTGCTCTATCATTAGGAGAATTTGCACTTTAGGTAGTTGGTTCTAGTATTTGAGAAGCATTTATACTTCATTTCTGGGACACCCTCATGACAGAAGTAGGACATTTGTGGATGTTAGCCAGAGTTAGCAGTGCCCAAGATGAGTGACTGACCAGCCAGCCCTTGCTCTCTGTGTATGGGCATGTCAAGTCAGAAGGTTTAGTAAGCTGTGGCACTGAAGTCTGGGTGCACAACACCCAGGTACCAGTAGGGGGTCAGCAGGGGCTTTCTCAACCCTTGTGTGGAAAGAATGCGGGAAGTCCTTAGAGACTGTCCAGTCATGAGCTATGAGCTGCTGTTAATCCTCAGAACCCTTAGAGAACTACGTGTACCATTCTAACTCTTTTAAAAGAACAAGCAGAAACCTGATTTGGTGAAGAATGGATGTTTGTATTTCTATTTGTACTATTCCCGTGGCAGCAGACCTGGGCAAAATCCCAGATTAGAATTGGTTCTGTAAATTGTTCTTTAAATTTTGCCTTTAGGAAAAAATTAAAAACTTCAAAGACAGCTTGCTGTTGCTGTTGCTGGTGCTGCCCCCAAAGCCTTCCAGTCTTTGATGCATTTATAATGAGTGAAGCAGTTGCCACGGGGCCGTGAAGGCTTGCATGACTGTTGTGGAATAAATAGAATGGTTTGCAACCATTTTAACTTTTCTTTTCCCATGCCAGAGAAATGGTATTTGATTCCTTTTCTGTAACTTCTTCTCTTTCTGAGCAATAACTCCCAAAGGCTTTCCTTAGTGATCATAAAGCAAGCAAGAAGTTCTTTTGTGGCCGACATGCCAAGGGCGGGTGGCTGCCATCACTTCCCAACAGTAGAGCTGGCTGATTTCAGATGAGCCATGGGGATATCGATCAGGGTCCTGGGCTTCCTGTACTTAAGGTATTTTCATGTGTTTGTAAGTTTTCTGCACTCTTCTACTGAAATGAAAGCTCTCTCTCAAGAAAGGGTTTTGGGTGGTTTGGAGATCTAGGGGAAAAAACAGCACACCTGAGACTTTCCATTGATCTTCTATTTATTTAGAATAAAAAGTAGTTTAATAAGATAACATAGGTAGGACTTTCAAAGCACCCTCTCTGAACATATGGAAAATGTCCCTCAGGAAGCTCTAAAAGCTCTTCCCAGTACAGTGCAATTTCTTTGATTTTTAGTCCTTTGGAGCAAATGTCTGATGTTATAGTTGATGTTAATATTTTTTAGAGCTGTGGAGAAAAAATGTCTAAACAATTTTAAGGGGGATTATTTAATCTGATTATCTGGCTGGTTTTGTTGTTTGTTTTGTGTTTGTGTGTGTGACTTAGCTTGCAGGGCAGCTGTCCAGTTCTTTTCCTGTTGTCCTGTGGTAAAGCAGAGAGTGAACCATGTATTGAAAAGTACTTTCTGGTGTCATACTGACTCAAAATTTTGCTTGGCAGCCATGGGGAAACCTCTCTGCGCTGTAGCTTGTTGCTGAGTTGTGGACAGGGCCAAACTTGGATGACTGTGTCTTTAATAGTTTCACTATTCATGTACCAGCTGCTGAGAGAAAAACCATGACTTGTCATCTTGTCTTGAAATTACTCCTAATTGTTAAGTCCACCCAAAAAGCCTTCCTGTTCCGGGAGGATTGCTGCTAATGATGTCTGTTTGCAGTGTTCTGCTTTGGTTATATGTCATGGAGGAGTCTGGAAACTGTAATAAATATGATCGTATTAATGTTCTGACTGCTTTGCCTCTGATGATTTTGGGGATCCTGGCATGTGGGGATGGGGTGGAGGAAGGAATCGGGAGAGCCTGTTACCAAGTAAAGATGCCGACCTGGGACATGAGAGCCTCTGAAGCCTCTCCAGACACATTGTTGACAACTTTGGCCTTTTCTTGACCAAAGCACACCCATTTAGATCACTGTCCTTGTAGCTTTGTTCTCCCCAGTTTTTATGTAGTTCATGCTTGGCCCACAGCCCCTAGCAATAGTGACCATGCCATGCATATATTCTTCCTCATAACCCACTTTCATGAATCCACTTGTCACCACGGAGTGTGATCCGCTATACTGAGATCACCACTGGCTCTGCTTCCCTCTGAGGGCTTTACCACTTTGACTAATTGATCCTACATGTTCCAGAAACATCAAAATTTGCCACCAACTTTCCTCTGTGCATATAGGGAAGTTGTGCCCCCTAGAGATTAGCCACATCAGTTACTTGCTCTCCGAGCAGAGTCACCTGAGGAAGGTGGGCAAGCAAAAATCACATTGCTTCTTAGAGAGAGACCTACGTTCACAGTGTGAACTCAGGTCCACACTTTCAAACTCTACATGAGGTGGTTCAGCTGATATTCAGGATACTTGTAGCAATCACTGTGGCAGAAAGGAAGGCCTGGTGCAAGGCCTATATATTCTGGCCCTTGCTTGTTTATTTTTAGTTTAAAAGACTTCTGATTAGATGAGAATGGCCTCACAATGTAGACAATGCTACAGTACAGTATTGGCAGGGGTGAGGCAGCCAGTGGAATGAGATGGCTCTTGCTCTCCCTGTGCTTCCTGCACCTAGTAGGGAAAGAAACCCCCCTGGCCCAATGGAATCCTCCCCTTGGGCAGAGTGCAGCACGGCGTGCCTTCCTATCACCACTAGGTGGCAGTAGGTTAAAAAGAACCGGGTCCCCACATCTCCATTCCTGCTACAGTTTACTGTTTGCTATCACCAGTCCCAACAGAGATCAGCAAGGTAAAGCAAGCCAGCGTCAGCCCAACTGGCAAAATAAATGTTTCTTACCAATATTGAACTTGTCCACTTTGGCGCTTAGGAGGCTGATGCCACAGCCTGCAAATACACAGGAGAAAAGTGGCCCATGTATTCTATCCCCATGAACTTGCTCATTTCTTCTCAGAACATTTCTTCTCAGGTCAGCTCCACCCTACCTCTTTCCAGCTTCTGCTTCAGTCTCACCAGAGGAAACTGTCCTGATTCCCAAAGTTGTATCACCTTAAGAACATCATTTCCCCCCAGAGTCAGGAAAATCCATTGTGAGAGGAATTTCAACAGTCTTAGGAGCTCTGGCTCAAAACTGAGCCTCCACCCCAAGACTAAACAAACAGGCTCCTGAGTCAGATGAAAGGCTGTTGTTTTAGAGACTAGGGGGGTGGGTGGGCAGTGCCAGCAAATCTCCTGGCACTTCCTGTCAGGCCCTTCAAAGGACCTTCCCCTTTCTGCCGCAAGCTTTGGTGAAGAGGCATATAGTAATACATATTGCTCTTCAAATGAATCACCAGAAATAAGATGACAACACACAGCTCTATCTCTTGCTCTTTTGGCAACTTCCTGCATTTCATTCTGCACAGTGTGAGAGGCAGAGGATAGATCAGGAGCATACTGTCCCTTCTGAGCATTTCAGCCCTGGGACAATCATTTCCCATGTGTTACCTTATTCCCATACCACCACCATGAGAGTAGGTTTCACCCCCATCACATACATGAAGGAGTTTAAGTAACTTGCCAGCTTCTCTCTGCTCGTAGGTGGCAAATTCGGGATGCTATCTAGATCTGACTTCCTGTGTTTATTCTGGCCTGCACCTTAGAACTAATAGATTTCTCAGACATTGACTAAGAAACTGAGGGCAAGTTGCGTCCATGCCTTCAATTGACTAGGGACCAGGTGGCCATGTTAGAATATGGCTTGGTGCTTTGCTTCAAGTGGATGTGGTCCCTGTTTTGGGGGCTGGAAGTGGACACACACAGGGTTTCATGTCTTCTAGAAAGAAACAGGGTACCCCCAGGGCAGAAGGCCAGCCGTGGTTCCCTGATAGTGGTGCTATGTGGGCCACAGGAGGTATTTCCCACACTTTGGTGTGGCTGGGAAAAGAATGATCCAGTGAAGAAGCAGTGACTGGTCTTTTGACTCTTTGGTCTCACTCAAAGTCGGCTATCCTTTCTTTCCATCATGCTCTGACATTTGAAAGGAAGGCATTCTCTAATTTTGACTGTAGATTCATCTTTTTACAGCAGATTTTCCAGTTTAAGCTATGGGCATGCCAAAGCTACAGAAAAAACAAAACAAAACAAAAAAACAAGAGATTACCAGAAGGCCTATTGTCTATCTCCAAAGATCTAAAAGAGAAAAAAAAAAAAGTGACTCGCTATCTACCCAGCTTGTAGAATTTCCCTCCAATGAAGTGATGTATTCACTTCTAGAATAGGGCAATCCTGGGGGCAGTGGGCAGTCCCCACTCTCTATGGCTCCTTGGTCACTACTGAGCCTCCGTTTCCTCATCTCTAACATAGGGACTGTGGCCCTGTGTCGTGGGGTGGTGACCGGAACTACTTGGCCTAGACAGCAAGTCTTGTTGTGGTGTGTGCCGCAGTGTACTTTCTGTGTGACAGCAGCTTTCTCTCTATCTTATGCTTTCTTGAGATGAGGCCTGGCAAACACGCACAGCACCTTGCTGCCTCAGTCCATTCAGCACACAGGTGATGGAGAGTGCGTCCCCAGCTTCCCGACTTCTCCGTACTTCCTCACTTGGCTCTTCCTGGGTTAAAACTTCAGACTACCATCCATGTGTCTGCTGTGCTCCCCCAGGAGTGACATTAAGCTCTGCAGGACATTCATTAGTTGGGGTGATGGGAGGACCACAGGGCGCTGGAATGGTAATTTCCTACATGGGACCCCAGTGACCCAGCGCAAGCTTGCTCAGCTGCTCTGAGCATGTGGCTAATGAGGGAAGGGTCAGGGTCTCACTCCTGTGTGGGCCAATTAGTGTCACGTGGCTCCTGGGGTAGCAGCAGCAGGCTCACGTGCATATGGCCTGGTCACCAGGACAGCTCAGTGTGGCCTCATCACATTCAGAAAACCAGTCCAAAGCCTCCATCTTCCTCCTGCTCATTACCTAGCCCTTAGTTTCCAAAACTTGAGTCACCTGCAGACACTCTTCAGGATTTTTGCCTTGTGCTATTAAAAAAGTCACTGTATTTTTATCTATCCACTACTTTCCTCTTAACCGATGCATGTATTTAGCTCACACTTGAAAGAAGTCTCACATCACTATCAGTAGAAACACACATAAGATAAACACCACACTGACATTACTGTATTTTTCTTCACACGATCTGCACACACCTCTGGGTCCAAGCCACCTAGGTGCTGTGCTGTGTGTTGCATGTAGAAGGGCCTCCTGTGGTAGCTAGGTAATGAAATGCACTGTTCTGTGAGAAAATGGTCACATCAGCAAAAAACATCTTATAAAGCAGTTACTTGGTGGGAAATGTTAGGATCGTGACTGGGTGTTTCATACGTGAGTGATGAAATTCTTGCCAGACTCGCCACACCAAATGTCCTAAGAGCTATAAAACCTAAACCCTGACAGATTTGAGGGTTTAATTTACATCTAACTTGCTCAGAACAGTGCCTTGTGTTTGCACTGCTATTAACACCAGGCTTCTCACACATCCTTATCAGCATCGCCTGCTGTATGATAAACAAAGCACAAATACACAACCCAGATGTGCTAACTGCTAAGCAGCTTTGTTTCCTCCAGCCCTAAGCAGGCTCAAGCTGATCTCCCCACTTAGTCAAGCCTGCTGCAAGCTCAGGAGAGAGCAGGGGTGGTGATTGTGATGGAGATAAACGCATATCCCTTAGTTGGGCATTTTTGGCCAAATTAGTTAGGAAAATGTGCGATGCGGGACAAAGCTACAAACGTGTGCACACACACAAGGTTCTAAATTTTGAGGCTCCCAGTACACTAAAGAATGAAGAAATGTCAGAGCAGGGTGATTTGTAAAACTGTATATTCTGACAATTCAAGTTCTGCCATCAACAGATTTCAATCCTTCCCTGAGAGTTGCTGAGTGTAGGTGTGTGGCCTCTGTGCAAGCAGAGCCACAGTCTGTCTGTGAGGCCTTGGTGGGTGTGAGGTGCAAAGGGCCCTCACCCACAGAATCACGGCCTTCTCTGGGGCCTGGGTGTCAGCTTATCATGTAGGAACACTAACTGTTTCACTTATCAGTGCCAGTTGGTATGGACAGAGTGGTAGGGACATGAATACCCTTCTCTCTCCTTCTCATGTCCCCTGACCTTGTGAATCTCCTGTTACTTTAGTGCTGCTGGGTCTGCTCATATTTATAGCTTTCTCATCAATCTTAGAAAGCCTTTCCTCAGTGGCAAGAGGGCCAGACCAGTTTATAAGTGCCGGGAGATTTACTTAGTTCAGCAAATACAAATACTAAGCAAGAACACAGTTACACAAATCCTGGATATTTACATAGCAGGTAATTTGACAAAAATCACTTTCAAAAATTAGTGGATGATGATAAACATCCCGAGAGCCCTGAGGTTAAGAGCCTGGGGAAGGTGAAGGGACAAGGGAATACAGGGGATGGTGGTGGTGGTGGGGAATGATTTGTATATGTAAAAAGAAAAAACTTAAACAAAACCACACTTGACTGGGTGCTGAGCATGCTTTCTTTGTGTTCTCTGCATGGGAGACACTCTGAGATTATTTCCGTCAGCTTGCCCTTTTGTCAGCTTTGTAGATGTGATTAACAGCTCTTTCCTCTTGGGTTGGATTGTTTAGAAGTCTTTAAAACAGGCGGCTTTTTCCTTTGCACAAGAACTATCTGGAGTGAGTGTGTATATTCACACACATGTACAGGTATGCACACACAATAAAAAGCAAGGAGAGGAGCCATTCATTAACATCCACAATGTTCTCACTGCATGATA